GCATCATGGAACTTCTAGGGTGTAGATGGAGCTATGAACTCTGAGAGTTGGCCCTTGGGCCTTAGAAATACTCATTTCCTATCAAATGGCATCATGCTCTTACTACTTTATTTTAATTTAATTTAATTTTATTATTCGTGTGTGTGTACCGTCAAATCAGATCTGGCTGGTGCAGGAGGAGATTGTCCCTCATTCTCCAGCGGAGCATCTGGTGGATTCGAACCGCACACCTCTGGGACTGCAGGGCAGCTTCTTGCCACTAGGCCACCAGAGCTCCTGCTCATACTACTTTCTTTCCACATTCTATATCTAGTGCATTCTTCTCAGCAGTGAATTTCTGTCTTTAGACCGTTTTGGCAAAATACCATTTCATGACAAAATTTCTTATCTTGTGTTCCGTGGCATATTTACTGAAGAATTAACTGATGTATCTGAGAGAAGGTTTCACAATCACAAAAAAATGGAGAAACCTGTAGCCTCTCACCCTCCACTTAGAGTCTCCATGTATGTTAAAGGTCTATTAAAGGTTTCAAGAATTCCAAATGGAAAGAACTTTGCTGGTTTGTTTTGGTACCTCAGTATTTCTCCAATCTTATTGACCACAAAATTGTTTTCAAGGGACATTTATTAACATCTTACAGAACATTAGTGTTCTGAGGAACTTAGCTTGCAAAATGCCTCATTAGGGAATCCCAGAACTCATAAAACATTAAGTCAACTATAACTTTTTTATTGTAACAAAAATATTTCTGCCTTTGAAAATATATATATAGCTATCTACTTAATGAACAAGTAAAATTTAGAACTGAAGCCCAGAGGATTGAGAAAATAGGCAGAAAAGCTCTTAAACTCATGAAAGATGAGAATTTACAAACTATTTTGCTATTACTGGTATAATATTTTAAAAAACAATAGTATGTTCTTCATTACTGATACAGGAAGAGTTTGGCACGATATATACCAAATATGTATATGTGTGCATGTGTGTTGTTGTTATGGACCATCAAGTCAGAAGCAACCCATAGCTGACCCTCCGGCAAATTTTCACAGGCAGTAAATTGCACAAGAGGAGACTATCCATCTTTCTCAAGTGGAGCACCTGGAAGATTCGAACTGTGTACCTTTGTGCTGGCAGCACAATTCCTCACCAGGGCCACTAGAGCTCCATAGCTGCTCTTGGTCGCCACTGACTCAATTCCATGTGTGTCAAAAGTCACTACCTTAAAAACCCTCTAAGAAATAGATTGTCAAGCTTGTCGTGTGAGGTCCTTTTGGGTGTATTTGAACTGCCAAAGTACAAATCCTACTACAAATTCATGTATTTGTGAGCACCTTTTAGAGGGCTGAACCTTGGGTCTTATAACCAAACACCCATTTTCTATTTAATGGCATCATTTTCTAACTACTTTCTTATCCAACTCTATATGCAATGCAGAATCTCCTAAGCAGAGAATGCTTGTTATTAGATCACTTTGGCAAATACAATTTTAAGGCCATATAGATCACAATTATTAGAAGTTGTTATTTTCATGGTTCAGGTTCAAATGTCAGGAAGAGTTCTTCCCTGGAGGCAAAGGCAGAATTAAAGGCAAACCAATATATATCAATGGATGGGTGGTCCCATTTCACTGTGTTCTCTTTCTCTGTCAGAGCTAAGATAAAAGCACAACAACCTCACTAAAAAATAGAGATTGGAGCATCAAGAAGGAACAGTGAACACTGTCCTTTAGGAAAAGGCTGCCTCTTTCTAAAGACAAAACCTCAAAGAGAGCTGATAATGTGGTAATATAATTTCCAAAGATCTGTGTATGTAATGGGGAGGGAAACAGGAGGAGAGATCACGTTTCTGTGGGATGCACTTAGTGACTTGTCTTTTCTTTGTAACTTTAAGTCTCAGAAATTATCCTAGTAGGAATTCCAGTAACCTGGAAACAAATGACTAACCATTCGTCAATTCAAATGCATTTAAGATGGCAGAGTTTCCCAAACTTTTAAAAAAAATTTATTTGGGGGACACAATTGTGGGGTTTCCCCTCCTCCCTTTTAAAGAACACAACTGAATAGCAAATATCTGACTCAAGTTTTTTAGTAAGCAGCCGAATTTTGGCCCAATTTTTTGGCGGTCGGTAGGGTGCCCTTTTAGATGACAAATCCATTTTCAGAAAGAAACTGAGATGTTTCTAAAGGATGTTAGTCAGAGTACTGAATCTAATAGTGAAAAATTGGAAATAAATATCCAACAATACAGAGTTGGCTTGGTAAATTTGGCACAGCCATAGAAGGGGTGCCATCCTGTCATTCACAATTTCAAACTGTGGAAGAATATTTAAAAGCATGAAATTAATTGTAATATAGCTCTAAGGTGGAAAAGCAGATTATAGAATGAGTATGTTTTAAATCTATATTTGGTTTAAAAGAAAAAAGAACCTGAATTCTCTCACTCTCTCACACATACCACCCCCTCCCCCAGAAAAAACTGAAAACATATAAACCAAACTTCTGGTAGTAATTATCTTTGAGATGGGATTAGAAAAAATTCTTGTCTCCCAGTTGGCACTCCCTGCTGTCCAAATTTGCCTTGATAAACACATGCATTCACTCCGTATATTTTTTAAAAAAGAAAATGTGAAATAATCTCTCCTGTGTTTCAAATATCCCTTGAACAAATTGGAATGTTTTGGTATCTTCAAGCAAAGCTTCTAAGGAGATAATAGTATTTCATGTGGCTATCCAAGAAATGGGTACTTTCTAGGGCTGGCTCTGTTGGAGGCAGGTTCAACAACGTCTTTACAACTCTCTGACCTTTCTGGAAGTAGCCACCAGTGTGACATGTTTTGAAAAGTGTGTGCAATTGATCCACTAGGCCCTTCAAAGTTCTTGCCCCACAGCCCAAAGCTTATGGCTGCATTTCTACCACTAGAGAGTCATTCCTCAGGCTTATGGCTTTTCACTCTATTAAAATGCAAATAACCCAGGAGAAGTACACATTAAACTTTACCTGTCACCTGGGTTAAATGAGTGTAACATATCATTTTTGGAGAATAGGTGTTAATGGAGAAGACAAGGGAATTGTGGAGGGGGGCACAATATGAATGGATACAGGAGATAGCATGAATGGATGGATATACATGGTATCAGAGGGGAGTAATTAATATTCCTAATAGTAATATTTTTATTTATGGTTTGGGAATCACTTCTGAGTCTGTCCTCACATTTAATCTCAATGAAAGCAAACACAATGGCTGTCACCAAGGAGAGTGAGGCTGACAAGAGATTTGGAAAAACACAAGACAATCTGCAACTTTCTTATCTTGAGAGTCGTTCCTCAAAGCCACAATCACACTCAGAGACATATGATGACTGCATTTATCTGCCCTTTCGAGGGAATCTTCTAATGATATGGTCCAAATGCCCAGCCCACATGCGTAACAGGGTTGGACTTGGGAAGAAAAGAACTTCTTACTTAATTCAGTATTAGTGTTTGACAAAGAGACTACCAGGATTTGTTCTTCTAAAAGACAATGTTTTGCCTGAGACGCCTAAGAAAACACCCAAATACTTTAACATTTTTTTTTTAAAATATGGAACTTTAAAGAAAACTTAAATTGCAGGAAATGAGAAAGGAAAGGACCAGAAAATGGAAATAAAAGGCAGCAGAAAAATGAAAGGCATATAAATGTGAAGTGCAACTTCTTGGGTTTGAATCCTGGCTCTGTCCTCTGCTATTTGTATTTGCTGTTCATCTCGGCTTCCTCATCCTTAAAATCAGTTAAATATCAGTGCCTATCTCAGAGGGTAGCTGCAAAGATGACATCTGTGAGTATTTGTAACATTAGGTGGCTCAAAGCAGTTCCTTTATAGTAATGATTAAATCCTCATACATACTCCATATGGCCAGAAAAAAAAAACACAACAAAATGTATAAATGCTAAATCTATGTAGCAAAATTATGGGCTATTTAAATTTTCTCTATTATACTGCATATCTTTTTATTGCAACTTGAGTGAACGTTTACAAAGCAAATTGACTTTCCATTCAACCATTCATACACATTTTGTTATGTAACATTTATTATGATGCCAACAATGTAACTGCCCTTTCCCCACTTCCTCTCCATAATCCTTATTCGAATCAATCCTTCTATCCTACCAATACTTGCCTTCCGGGCTTTATTTTTTGGCCACATGCTGCTCTTTTGACCTTATAAGGCTAGTTATTCAGAGTGTGTGCTGACTTGGTCAACCTTTCAGGCCTATCGTGTTATAAAGTTGAGCCTCCAAAGGATGACTAAGGGAGGGCTTCATCAATCTCTAGCAGAGCAGTAAGCCTGGACTTTTCTAGGTTTTCCAGCTTTGTCCCACGTGGTCCCCTACTCTGTCCATCATCCTTTGCTGAGTCCCTTTAGAATTCTCAGCAGTAACAGCTGAGCACCATCTAGTTCTTGTCTTTTCTATGCTGTTTAAATGCCAAAGCAACCAACAGGTGGTCTAGTGGTGTGGCAACTAAATTGAGATTGCCCAGCTGCTCCAGAGGAGAAAGTTGGACAACTTCCGTGCCATTTACTGTCTCTGGAAACCTGCTGGAGGGTCATCCCTGAGTTTGGTCCCTACTCAGTATATACAAATATACATGTATATACAATATATAGTGTATATATGTATAGACAAATATACATGGATACGGAAAACATGTAACATTTGAACTCACATTTGAACTTTATGAATTCAATGCCTAGAGGCAGAAATAAGAACGTGAAGACATTAATACAGCTAGCAGCGGAGAATATAGCATAGGGAAAAGAATTATGTAGAAGGCAGGAAAGGGGCAAAATGGGAAGGAGCTGGACTTTTTCCTAACCTTCTGAATTTATCCACTAAGGTATATTTCAGGATGATTTGTGCCTCTACAGAATCTGACAGAGACGACTGTGATTCAACTCTTTATTCTCAGCTGCCAGGCTGTGAAGAGGAGGTTGGGCAAAGGAAGCGGAAATGACTTACTGGAAAGGAAGTGCTGGGACGCAGGGCCAAAATCTCTGTGAGCTTCATGCAGCTGCCTGACTCTGTCTTCAATGGCCACCTGGGAGGAAAGGAGAAAAAAAAAATTATGTTCTCTCATCATGTGGAATGAAGAGCAAATAAAGTAATACACCCTTTTGGGTTGCTGGTGGCCTAGTGAAGCTGCCCTGCAATCCCAAAGGCACGCCATTCGAGGCCACCAGCTGCTCTGTGGGAGAAGGATGGAAAATCTCTTCCTGTGCGATTTACTGCCTCTGAAAACCCACCAGAGGGTCAGCTGTGGGTCGATTCCGACTCTATGGTGCACAACAACAACAACAGCAACAAAATAATCCTTTTGGGTGGGATCTTCTGAGTAGCCAAGGTCAAGAACACAAAACGACAATCTATTACCCAAGTTTTACATCATTTAAAAAAAAATTAAAAATAAAAAAACTGGTTTATTTACAAAGTTTTACATTGTTTTTCATACCAAATCTTTCTCCATTCTTTTACCCACTCCTCCCTCCACCCATTGAATTGTGGGACCCTATGAGTAAACCCCTCCTCCTCTGCTTCCCCCCCTCCTTGGATCCTCATACTCGTTCTACAATACTGTTCTTATACAGTATTTGTCTTTATAAGATTGAATTCACTTAGCATAATTCTCTCCAGTCCCTTCCATGTTGGGTACTAATTTACAAAATCATTGCTCCTGCATGCTGAGTAGTATTCCATCCATTTCTCAATCCATTACATTGTGGTTAGACATCTGGGCTGTTTCTATGCTCTTGAGATGGTGAATAATGCTGCTATGAACACTGGTGTACAAGTCTCTGTGCCTCAGTTCTCATCTTTTTTGGGGGGTATATTCCAAGCAGTGGAATATCCAAGGCCCATTTTATTAAAGTGAAGACAGAAAAGAAAGATTTCCTTTTCTTGTCAAAATGAAAAGGAAGATGTTTATACTCAACTCATTAAAAGCCATCCATGAATTTTTGGCCTGCCAAGAAGCAGCCTCAAAATACAGATGCTAAATCTTTCATTAGAATGGTTAGGGAGGGAGTTGTCGAGTATGCTACCAGAGGTAAATAAAAGATGCCAGAATGGCATATAGTTTGCTTTCACACTTAAAAAGTAAACTGGTTTTGTGTTTGGTTGTTTTTTTTTTTTTTTTAGTAATTTTCCCTGGCATTCGTAGGGGTTAGCAACTTTCGAGTGAAAATTAATCATTGAAAATTAACAAGTGGACTGTTAAATGAAAAGAAAGTTTGAAGGTTCAAATCCATTGGGTACTCAATGGAAGGAAAATGTCTGATGGAGGATTAGGCTTGAGTGAGAATCCACTCAATGGCATTGGATTTTCCGTTCAGTTGATTATTAATTACCAAGGAAACAGAGGCAAATCTTAAATCTGGAATAATACAGAGTAGAGAGAGATGGACGAGATATTTATATTTCCATTTTCCAAATGGACTTGGAATCACTGGGAAATATAACTATAGGTGGCATGGAGAGAAAATTGTCCTTCTTTTTCTTCTTATTAGGTTTTCCTAGAATACTTTTGACACAGTGTCCTGTCAGCTTTGTGAATTCCATTCTGGGAGGGGAGAAAGCCAGGCATTTACCGGAGAAATGGCATGCTTTATCATGTAGCATTTTGCTAGCTGTTAGTAGCAGCCTTAGGTATCATAACTCTCTAACACCACTTTTTGATCTGCCTCCAAACAGCTCATGCTCGATAGGGTTGACCAGAGCCACCAGACCTCCAGGAAAGCTAGCTTCTGTGGCACGTAATAATTCCCACGTGGCAAAACAGATCCTAAAGGTAGTTCAGTCTTGCATAAATTCTTAATTCTCTTTTCCCCACCCCCACTCCCACCCTAGCATTGTCTATCTTTGCTTGGACCGTAGATTTGGGTAAACAAATAGGATTCTACAAATGCAATGTTTACTTCATTGTTATCATGGACATAAGAGCAGAAAGAACATTCCCAGTCTACTTCTCCAGCCACATGACCCCGTCAGCCAAACTCAAGCTGCTAGACCCCACCAAAATATCGGTCTATCGTAAAATCATCCATTCCATCTGTGCTTGTGTGCTTTGTTCACACAGCTACCTCCCTCTAGGATACTCTTTTTTTTTTTTCCTCTCTCCTCCCAGTTTTACTAATATGTATATCCAAACCCCAGGTTAGAAATACAGAAAAACCTGTGAGAGAGAGCCAGGACTCCACAGGATTGCCTTATTTTTCTGAGTGTTACAAGTTTTCCACCTTTGACAGGGAACATTTACAAACTAGAAAACTTTCCAAACTGGACATCTACCTGCAGAAAACAGAAGCTGGATTCACATCTCATACCATTAACAAAATCCAACTCAGTGTGGATCAGAGACCTAGGGTAAAACCCAAGACCATAAAGATCATAAGAGACACAAAATGGGACTAAATTTAGAAGCCTAGCCTACAGCATAAATAGGCTTGCAAACATAGCCAGAAATGCACAACTAGGAGAGGATAAAATTGATGAATGAGACCTTATTAAAAATCATACCCATGTGTGCATCAAAAGCTTTTTCCAACTGAGTGAAGAGAAAGTCCACAGATTTTGGAAAAACAATTGGCAATGATATTTCAGGAGATTCTGGTGGCAAGAAGCTGCGCTGCAATCCCAAAGGCACATAGTTCGAGGCCACTGGCTGCTCTATGGGAGAAAGATGGGCAACCTCCTCTCACGTAATTAACTGCCTCTGAAAACCCGCTGAAGGATCAGCTATGGGCCAGTTCCAACTCGATGGAACAACAACAATCATAGTTCAGACAAGGGCCTCATAACTAAAGTTTACAGGATACTACAGGGTCTCCACAAGGAAAAGATTGATACTCCAATCACAAAATGTGCAAAGGACAGGAAAGGACTCTTCACAAAGGAGGATGTTCAGTCATTCTCTATCAGAGGAAAATATTTGCATTTTCCTTCTCTGATAAGATTTCTGTCTTATGTAAGTTCTGGCATTTGCAAGTTATACTACAGTTGCATTCTCTGCAGTCTTTTTTAAATTTTTTTTTTTGTGTGTGTGTGTATGTGAGTTTACGGTCAAATCAGATCTGACTGATACAGGAGGAGATTGTCCCTCCTTTTCCCGGCAGAGCATCTGGTGGATTCGAACCGTGTGCCTCTGGGATTGTAGTTGCAGCTCCTTGCCACTAGGCCACCAGAGCTCCCCTATTCTCTGCAGTCTTATAGTCTTATATGGTTTATATAGTCTTACATGGTTTATACTTGTGCCCATTTGACTTATGTAGGGAGCTCTGGTGGTTTATCCCACAGGGAGCTGCAATGCTAACCCAAAGGTGGTTCTCCTCCTCTCTAGAGGTTCACCTCCACCAGCAGCTCTGTGGGAGAAAGCTGGACCAACTCGTCCTGTGTGATTCACAGCCTCTGAAAATCTGCTGGGGGGTGAGCTATGAGCCAGCTCTACCTGATGACTATGAGTGATATATGTGGACCTGGGGATCTCCTACAATTGCCGGTCATCTCAATGGTAGAGATCCTTCCCTGCTTATCCCCTTACAGAACATACCGAATCTGCACAGTTTTTGTTGTGCACCATTGAATTGGAGAGTTGGACAGTGACTAGAGATGATAGAAGGAGAATTGATGCCTTTGAGCTGTGGTGCTGGAGAAGAGTGTTAAACTGCTAGGAGAACAAACAGGTTTGTCCTGGAGAGGGTGAAGCCAGAATGCTCCTTGGAGTCAAGGATTCTAAAGCTTCGTCTGACATACTTCGGGCATGTTACAAGGAGGGACTGGTCCTTGGAGAGGGACATTATGTTTGGCAGAATGGAGGGACGGCAAAGGAGAGGAAGACCCTTGATGAGATGGATCGATTCTGTGAGTGGAGTGGTGGGAATGAGTGTGTTTGAGATGGTAAGGTTGGCACAGGATAGAATGGCGTTTAGGGCTCTTGTACATAGGGTTGCTATGAGTAGCAAGCGACTCGACAGCACGTAACAACAACAACAACAAGCTACTGAGTTGGAACCAACTCATAGCTGACCCTCCAGAGGGTTTTCAGAGGCTGTAAACTGCAAGGAAGAAGACAGTCCATCTTCTCCAAAAGAGCAGCTAATGGATGTAAATCACTTGGGGTTAACAATGCAACTCCTTATCACTAAGCCACCAGGGCTCCCGATGTGTTTAATTACTAAGTCGCCAAACTGATGGACATATGAGTGAGTGAGGGAAACAAAAAAGAATTATCAACTGACACTGACTGGATGTCATGGGTAAACCATTCTAAACTCTGTCTCCTTATGAGTAAAATGTGGATAATAATAAACCAATGTAACACTGGTCTTCCCCACCCCCCGGCCTTATATTATTTTTGTTTTATGTTTGTTTGCTTACAAAGTCTGTATACACTGTGTTTCACACTATCCTTCATTCACGTTGTGTTTCACAGAATCACTCCCATTCGTTATGTCTTATAAAATGAATCGTCACTGAACTATGCCCACCATTACCCTCTTTCCAAATCCCTGCCAGATCTTTCCCATTTCTTTAAGTGCCCCCTCCCTCCAGCCACCACACTGTGCAACCCTATGATTTCCCTTCTGCCCATCCTCACCCCTCTGTCATTTGGATCCTCGTACATGTTTTACTAGTTATCTTCCTGTTGCTACAATTATGGTCCTATCATAAGATTGTAGAGAAGGGTGGTGGACTCATGGCAAGTGACTATATGGCATCTGCAGTTATTTATAACTTAGGCTACTTTCATGCATGTTGTTGCAGATTGCCTTCAAGTCGAGCACGACTCATAGCGACCCTACGAACAAAAGGTCTAAAGACATTCTAGAACTACTGACATTTCTCAAAGTTTAGAGAGTTTCCGGAGGCATGTTGTTTAGGAAGTAGATGCTACTTCTGCTTAGATTATGCAAACGATGTTGTTGAGTACTGTCAAGTTGGAACCGACCCATAGCTGACCCTCTGGCGGGTTTGCAGAGGCAGTAAATTGAACAGGAAGAGACTGCCTATCTTTCTCTCATGGAGCAGCTGATGGATTCAAACTGC